TTTTTTTTTTTTTTTTTTTTTTTTTTTTTTTTTTTTTTTTTTTTTTTGTTTTTTTTTTTTTTTTTTTTTTTTTTTTTTTTTTTTTTTTTTTTTTTTGTGATAGGTCTTGCTGTGTTCCCCAAATTAGCCTCAAACTTGTCTTTCCTATCTCAGCCTCCTAAGTACCTGGGGCCCAAGTGAGAACCACTGCACTCAACTCTGAACTCTTTCATAGGTTGCAATATATGAATTTATCTCAAATATCTCCTTTCATTGTGACTGTAAACAGTATTGGATTTTTAATTTCAATTTCCCTAAGTTCATTTCTTTTAGAAATGTAAGCGTTTACTGGATGTAATGGTGCATGCTACGTATATGTAGGCCAGGCTAGCCTCAAACACATAGAGATTTACCTGCCTATGCCTCTCAAGTGCTGGGATTAAAATGGGCCACCAGTCCTGGCTCTCAAAGTTCTTTGAATACCAACCTGATTCCACAAGTGGAAAATTCTGTACTTATCTCAGTTTTAAGCGTCACGGTCAAATCAAAGTCATACTAAGAATATTACATAAAATTATCTTCAAACTGTGTGTATAATGCATATATGGAATACAAATGAATTTTGTGTTTCAACGGAATAATCACAAAACAGACAAGATACTTTGTGGTTTATGTGCAAAAATTTGAAAATCTCAAGTAATGCTTCTCCCAGACACATTGGCTAAGGGTTTCAACTTGCAGCTGATCAAAACTATCGATAGTTTTGATTTGCCTCACCACACTCTTTCTCCGGGACTGTGTCGTACCAGCAGAGTCTTGAGGCATGCAGGTCTGACCCTGCTGATTTCACCATGTCCGCACTTGGATGAGCTATTAGAATTTCAGTGTATTTGTGATTGTGAAAGTAAATAAAGTAGCTGTGGACTTTCTCATTTTCATTGCTTGCATTTGCAGTCACAGTCTGCATTTTTCTGCAAACATTATTAATTGAATTCTGGTGGACATTGAAGCATGATTTTATAGTTTAAGAGGTCTCTGTTCAGAGGGAAATAATTGCATTATCAAGAAATATTTTATAGACATGTTTATAATATAAAGTTTCGTTGAAGGTAAACATTTGTTTAAAATTCAAGACCAGTAATCAATGCTACATCGTCAAGGTGTGAAAGGAGATTTTCCAAATAATGTAATTGATATAAAATAGGTTTTGGAATGGGGGATATGGCTTATTACTAAGAAATATCTGGGAAGTATGTAATAGTGTATTTATAAAGTTTTTTGACTTTTAAAATAATTTTAATAAGTTAGAGGAAAATAATCACAGAAACCTAAGATGTAAACTAATAACTAATTTATTAGAATAATCTTACCTCCAATATTTTCTTCTTCTCAAGGTATCACACACGTCGTAGGAAACCGAATCCTCCCAAAGACAGGTGACTGTTCTTGATTCTATGAGCATCGGACATTTTGCTTTGTGTATTACTTGCCAGTTGAGAAATTGTACATGGTGTACATTAAGATGTTCAATAGGAAAAAAATAAAATATTGTTTCAGATATTCAAGTGTGTATTTCATTATATCGATTCTGAATTTGAGGTTATTTAGAGACATCTACTTGATCTTATTTTCCTTTTGAAACATAAAGTCTTTTCCCCCTCTCTTTTATTTATTTATTTTTCTTCATTTTCCTAATTTTTTATTAAATTTTTATTTTTTATATTAATTACAATTTATTCATTTTGTATCCCAGTTGTAGCCCCCTCCCTCAGTCCTTCCCAATCTTTTATTTATTTATTTTTGTTTGTTTTTTGAGACAGGGTCTCTCTGGCTGTCCTCAACTCTATGTAAACCAGACTGGCCTTGAACTCATAGAGATCCATGTGCTTTCTACCTCTTTTTGTTTTATTCTATTTCTTTAGTATTTTTAATTATGTGTAAGTATGTGTACATATGAATGGAGGTGCTCACAGAGTCTCTGGTCTGGCCTGGACCTAGAGTTAAAAGCAGTTGTGGGCCACCTGACATAGTTGCTGGGACTTGAACTCAGGTCCTCTGGAGGTGAAGTCCATGCTCTTAAACACTGAGCCATCTACCTGGGTGTGGTGGCACATGTCTTTAATCTCAGCACCCTGGAGACAGAGGCAGGTGGATCTCTGAGTTGGAGGCCAGCCTGGTCTACAGAGCAAGTTCCAGGACAGCCAGGACTACATGGAGAAACCCTATCCTAGATAAAAACAAAGCAACACCCTCTTCTAAAACACTGAGCCATCTCTCCAGCCCTGCTTGCTTCTGCCTCTTGAGCTTCATTATATAACTAAGGTTGTCTCTCTCTTTACATGTCTTGACCATCATTATATAACCAAGCTGTCTCTGTCCTCACGTTCTTCTTTACCTTAGCCTCAAGTACTGTGATGGCAGGAATGAGCCGCCACACACAGTTCTATCATTTATTTTCCTAAGTCCAGTATGTTTAAAGAGTTTACATCATCAGCTAAACATCATTAATGTTAGCACATAAAATGTACATTTCTCTTTTTTTATCACACATACACACCCACCCACCCTTATCCCCCTCATCTCACTTTCTCTGAACCCCTCTTCCAAGTCCCCTTCCTACTTTCAAGTGTTATATTGTGTGACACACTGAGTTTAATAGGCTTGCTTGTGTAAACATGGGTAGGGGTTACTTACTGGAACATGGGCAACTTGCTGGTGCCTATACCACTGATGAAAAATGACTCCCTTGGGGGCTGGAGAGACCGCTCAGAGGTTAGCACTGGCTGATCTTCTGGAGGACCTAAGTTCAATTTCCAGAACCATCTATGAGATCTGGTGCTCTCTTCTGGCCTACAGGCATACATGCAGGCAGAACACTATACATAAAAATAAAAAGAAAGAAAGAATGATCCTCTCTAGTAGCCATCAGTTGCCAACAGTGCCTTAGCTAGGGGTGAAGCCTTGCTGAGGTTTGTGTGTGTGCGCGTGCATGTGTGCATGTTGGTATCCCTTGGAGGCCAGGGGATGTCAGCTTGCCTGGAAGTGGGAGTTATATATATGGTTGGGCGCTACCTTGTGATTGCTGGGAATTGAATCAGAATCATTTGGAAGAACAGCCAGTGCTTGTAACTACTGAGCCACCTCTCAGCCGGCTGCTTCCGTGCTGGGAATTTTGACCGGCTTGATTGTGTGCAGTGGTCCACAGCTGCTCTGAATTCATGAGTGCAGTTGCCATGTGATGTCTAAAAGACATTTTACAGCACTTCCCTGCCTCTTTTGTCTCTTCTGTTCTTTTTGTCCTCCGATTCTGCAATGTTTCCTGAGCCCTGTCTCCAAAAACCAAAACAACATCAGAAAACCAACCAACCAACCAAGCAAACAAAAAGCAGACGAAACTGCTGTCGCACCTGTGCAAACACCTGCAAACCAGTGATGAAAATTCTTTAGCAAGTTGGTGTTATGGGAATGTTCTCAGATTAATTACTATGACTTTTGATAGCATTGCTGCCTTGGGAGTTCTGTTTAGCTGGTAAGGAATCTTTTTAAAAAGAAACATTTTAATGTATTTATGTGTTTTTTTTAATGTGTTGCCTTAGCACTCCTTATTTGCTTTATTTATTTTTGTGTGAGTGAGTCTTGTCTACATGTCTGTACAGTGTGCATTCCTGGTTCCTGTGGATCCTCTGGGACTAGCGATACAGGCAGTCATGAGCTGCCATGTGGTGGCTGGGACTTGAACCTGGGTCCTCTGGAAGAGTAGCCAGTCTTTTCCAGCTCTCCAGCCCCCCAGGAGGGTGAGAGGACAGCTTGTAGTCATCAGGCTTGGCGGCAGGCCCTTCAAGGAGCTGGTTGAAACATTCGTGTGAGTGTTGTAAAATCTAGGGAAAAATAAGTTCTTATTCAAAATCGATTTCCAATCTAGTTTGTTTAGTTAAGGAAATGTAACTGGCCGCTTGGATAAGCGGCCAGTGCAATGAAAAGATTAGTGAATAGAAGAGAATAAAGGTTAGTAACGATTGAACCTCTGACCCAAAGGGAACATTTCAGTGCTCTACTTTTTCATTATTTCATTTTTTAAAATTTATTTATTTTTTATATTGATCACAGGTTATTTACTTTGTATCCCAGCCATAGCCCCCTCCCTCATCCCCTCCCAACCCCACCCCTCCCTCCCTCCCTCCCTCATCTTCTCCCTGCCCCTTTCCAAGTCCACTAATAGGGGAGGACCTCCTCCCCTTCCATCTGACCCTAGCTTATAAAGTCTCTTCAGGACTGGCTGCAATGTCCTCTTCTGTGGCCTAGCAAGGCTGCTCCTCCCTTGGGGGGGGGGGGGG